TAAAATGTATTATAATTGATATCTCAAAAGGATATGCACTTGTGCGCGGCGTGAACTGCTGCGCTCTCGCACTGCAACGCAAGATTTTCATAAAATATAATAGCTTGCAATTTCAGTTTGTTTCTTACCAAACCCTCAGTATACCTTCAGAATGCTTGGAATATACGCCACGAGATGCATAGGATTATTTTACGACAGATATGCATCCGCTTAAAAAAATATATAAAAAAATAAAGTCACCATTCTCTGCCATTAAATTGTCAAGTGCGAGCAGGACATTTTTGTGTTATTAAGTAATAAGCCTTTAGAACAACATAAAGGTGAGTAGTCACTCTAGTTCACACAGTTCCAGTAAATTGCGATGGGTTAAATAAACTCAATAAGCAGACAGACGCGACTACAGTCAAGCGCAGACCAGTATTGAAGTGCACAGGAAATAAGCAGCAGTCATATTTAATGCAGTTTAAATTAATATTGAGTACTGATTGATGTTCACTTGGATTTTTTCCCCCATCGAGGGGAAATAACTTAATACTCTGTCATTTATAGTCGTATGGTAAAATGTATTTTTATTTGTGTAACGTTACGTTCAAAATAACTACAAAATGTCATGCCTTTGAAAAATAAAGAGAACAACAGAATGTGCTGCTTTAGCGGGTCTCGGTCTCCTTGAGCATCTTTCTGACACATGCCACAAACATCAACCACAACGAATACTCGTCTTTTAAAAGGCTTCATTTAGATTATTTTACATTAAATGCATCATATAAATCACTTTGGAATAAATCACAGTAGGCCTATGTATGATTAAAAAAAACACTTTACAGTCTGGAAATACTTTAGGCTATAGCTAATTATTTTGCAGGCCCCCTATCACTTTAAGAACCGCTGGTCTACACAGAAAAAAGACCTGTCTAGACTCTGCCCTGACTGACGAGGTGTGTCGAGCTATTCATTAGTCTGTTTGATGAGAAAAATATGAAATGTAGTTGCAATAAAATGGGTTATTAATCCGTACAAGTGCAGCAGTGGAGGACTATTATTCTGCTGCGTGATACTGCAGAAGAACTGATGACGGCACGGTTTGATCTTCGGCTATTTAAATAAAAAAACGAATGATCGAATGATACACGGATTCAGAATCCGTGTATCATTCGATCATCAGTTTTTTTATTTAATATTGAAAGTAGAAAAATGAGAAAACTGATCCTTTTTCGTTTTTTTGTTTTTTTCCAAA